GTAAAGTAGTTGTTAAGTTTAAGAATTGGGTAGGATTAAGGATTTATAATAAGGTCTTGCAGAATAAGACATTAATATGTGTTTTTTTAAGTAATAATAAACAGCCAATATCCCAGTAATATTCATACTAATAACCAACTAGTTAATAGTGAGAATTGGACACTAAAGTGCTACTAATATTCTTATTAACTCACCAAAGTATTTGAAGTGAGAAGAGTACATAAAAAGCATGCATTTTAAGGTTAGACTTTAAATTTTGATGTTAAATCCACTATTGTATTGTATGTAAATGTTCTACAGTCTGTACACAGTTTTAAGTTCAATCACATAAGAAAATTACAGAAAAAATAATAATAGAGTAATCCCTTACTTTACTTTTTCAAGGGAAAAGTAATTAAATTACAGTAACTAATGACTTAGTAACTAATTACACCCAACACTGGCTCTGATTAATTCCAACACTTCAGTTATTACGGTTTAACTCAACATTTGAGAATCATGACCATCTGTGATTATTGTGAAACTATATGCAACACACTGCCAACCTTGTTTTGATGACTGATCTGTCCCATGGCCCTCACATTTCTGATGACACAAGTGGTCCCAAATGCGATTCCCTCATAACTTAGCTGTAGTGAACTAATGAGAGAGATTTTACCATCAGAAAAACACGCGAAAACTATACTTCCAAGATAGAAATTCACATTCATGTGCATATGAAGTGAGTGCATTATTCAATATGATTTTAAATGCGACAATTTTCTGCAAATAAAATTGTTACAAACAAAACCACAACAGAATTAATCATTGCACATCTCCAAAAAAATGCAGTAGCACCATTTCTGTTTATTAAAGAATTGGTTGAGTGAATAATTCAATGACTCACACATAAAGATAGTCAATTATCATCACCTTTCAAGGTAACCTACAGAAGGTGTCACTAAAAAAGCTCTTCATAAGCTCTTATACCAATTCAATATTAATTCAGTTAAGGGTTTCTGCAGGTTTTATGAAGGACCATTTAAAGCTTTTAAGGATAAAGTAAAGAAAATTTAAGAAATCAATTAAATGGAACAATACAACATGGTCTCTAAATTTAAATGTATAGTATCATCAAGTGTAAATGTATTGCATTACTTTCTGATCACACTGCAAAAAAGTGATGTCCTTCTGCAGTATTTTGGTCTTGTTTTCTAGTGCAAATGTCTAAAGATTTTTATATCACAATGCATTTACCTAAGAAGGAAAATGACAAGAAGTCTTGTGTTCTGAGAAACTGGTCAAAATGAAATTGAGTTTATGATTAAAACAAGAAAAATATCTGCCAATGGGCTCAGAAAATTCCTAATTTAAAGGGACACATGTTTTCATACCCCATTGAAACTCATTGAATTTTGTTCAGTTTTTTTTTTACAAGACTTCATGTCTTCATTTTGCATCTCAAGTAAATGGATCTTGATTTAAGGATGTTTAGATATTTATATTGGAATACAAAACAAAGATAATTATTTTTACGCAATGCATGCATAATTTAATGACTATATGAATTTAAAACTGATTTAAGATTTTTTTGAATTTGTGGAAGGGCAAATTAAAACCTTTTTAAGAGCTGCAGAAACCCTGAATGTTATTTTGCTTTAAGAATTGTGTTTTCCGAATTATTTATTTTATTTTAAGATATGCCATTGTGTTCATAGTTTGTTGGTTTGTTTTTGGGCTTATTTTGTTTTCAGAATTGTCATTTGTTTTGCACAAAGTGTCCCAATTCTGAAGCAAACCTAACCCATCATGCATTGCTTCACTCAGTTTCATATTTTGAATGTGGCTTTCAGACAACATATTCTCATTTTATTTGATACATTATGAAACAAAAAAAAAATCACAGATGAGCATTATGTCAAGTGTCTGAGAATGAAACTGATTTGTGTGCATGTGCGTACAAACACTATTAACATTGCTTAATAGCAGTATAAAGCAATGAACAGCAACAGGAAAGGGTGGAAAGGATTAAATCAATGGTCAGACAAAGTTAGGACACTTCTACAGTGTGTACTCAGATCTCTATAGAGTTTGTGTGTCTATACTTTGACCTACCTACATTCCAGCTGGGGTTTAATGTCACAGGGTGGCTGGGTGGGATAATCAAACTCATCCCTAAAATCTAGAGGAATACTGAAGGGAACTCCGACATGGACGGGAGAGGAAATGATGCCTAGAACAAAAGATACTGCTTCACCTTCTGTTGGAGAAACAAAGAAGACAAAGAGTGAGAATTTAACACGGCATCTAACAGGAGATGAGTTACTTCAGTCAAGCGTTATTTTAGCATCACTGAGACACTACTGTAGTTATTATTCATATTTAAATTTTCATATTTCATTCAATTCATTTTCTTCTGTTTTTTTTTAAATTTTTTAAATAAATGTCTATGCAAGTTGATGAATTTTTATTTCAGTTTTTTTTCCCCCAAGTTAGACTAATGAGAAACGTTTGTCTTTGCAACTAGCTGAAATAAAATAACTATTTCAGTTAGTTTTATTACTAAAAACAAAAATTTCAAGATGGACAGTTTACAGTTTATTACTAGTAACAAAAATGTTTTCTATAGATTTAGTTAACTATAACAACCCTGCTTCACTCTTAAAACAGCATTTTTTTTTATTTAGCTATTTAAATTAATAGTTCATCCAAAAATGAAAAGTCTGTCATTATTTATTCATGTTATTCAGAACGTGTGTTTTCATTGAATACACAAGAACAATTTAATTTTAGCAGCTTTTCCCATAAAATGACGGTTCATAGTGACCCAAACTGTAAAATTCTCCCCAAAACGCTCAAAATCATCATTTCTTTTGCAATTTTTATTAACCAACAAATATTAATCAAATTCTGGCTCTTATATACACTTGCAGTCACTAAAAACTGAAAAATCAATGGGTTTCTGCTTGCAATTTCAAGTATACCTGTGAGAAGGACACACCATTTTTATACTTTAAACTTTTGTGCTTTATAAGCACACATTAACAATGTAAACTCAACTCGAATGCGATCACAGGTGGTCACAAAAAACACAAAAGACACTATACTTCCAGGAATAAACAGTAGTATGCGGTTCTGAATTCAGCACAGATGTGAACAGGGCCAGTGTGTTGGTTTGTTTTACCTTTAATGGAGAACTTGAGGGTGTGGTTGGGGAGTCTTTTTCCGGCCCATTCGCTGGCCGAGTTGTCACTCAGCATGGTCTGCAGATGCAGCGTGTACTTCCCAAGCTTACTGAGATTCTCTGGAAGTAAAAACACTCACTTAGTATTCTATGAGAAGTACAGCAAACCCAAAAACTGTGCTAGTAAGTCCTCATTTCAAAAAAAAAAAAATTGTTGTTGTTGTTTTGAAGCATTAATATTACAAATTTTTTTTTTAAAGAAGCATATTTGAATCATGCACAAAATATCTAACAATGGTAAAATTTTACAAGATACATTGGTAACACTTTACAATAAGGTCCAATTAGATCATGTTAGTTAATACATTACTAACAATGAGAAATACATTTGTTACAGCATTAATTAATCTTTGTTAATGTTAGTTCATTCTTAGTTCATGTTAGCTCAGGTACACTAAATAATATCAGACACAACTTTTGATTTTGAAAATGTATTAGTAAATGCTGGAACTGACATGAACTAAGATTAATAAAAGCTAAGTATTTTTATTGTTAGTTCATGTTAATTAATTACTTTTTCCCAATAACCTGCCATATTTATGACCATCAGTGGTGCAAAGTAACAGCAGTGGATTTCTAGATCCACATTTATATATTTAATCCATATCTGCCTCTCTCTGCATGCAATGCTATAATTGGAGAGGGATTGTGGATTAGATGCATCTAAATGTCCACGAATGGACCTGGTATGGATCAAATCCAAGATTCGTCTGTTTTTCTTGATATCGCTGTTCATGTGCTTTCGTATTCACCAGCATTACTTTGCTCTGCTGATGCTGATGGTGAATTATGGCGAATCAATGGAATCGAATATGAACACATGTGATGATTCGCTGATTTTTACCCATGGGCTTGAACCAGTATTCCCACTTGGATGAATGAACACCAATGTGGGAGTTCGTCTGGACGTCCCCTTTAGGAGCTGAAGGAAGAAACAGATAAAAAAAAACTGTATGTCACAAGCATATCGTGCATAAACATTACAAAAATATATATGAATACTCGTGTCATTGCATATATAAATATACACACATGCATACCTTTTACCCATGGGCTTGAACCAGTATTCCCACTTGGATGAATGAACACCAATGTGGGAGTTCGTCTGGACGTCCCCTTTAGGAGCTGAAGGAAGAAACAGATAAAAAAAACTGTATGTCACAAGCATAAACATTACAAAAATATATATGAATACTCATGTCATTGCATATATAAATATACACACATGCATACAAAACATACACATGGCATACAAAAAACATGATAAAATTATCATGCACTGACTACAAACAATAATGTAGTAAATGCAACTCACAGTGCCAGATGACTTTTAGCTCAATCAACAGTTTCTTAGTAGTGCCAGCCACGGGCAGCCGAGACATCGAGTCTCCTTTTTTGTTCAAAATCTCCACTTTAACTGGACCTGAACAAGAACAGATTTATACTAGAGTATACAGGTCTGTAGTGCTGTTGGTACAAGATTAGATGAAGGAGCTGTTTTTGATGAGAGTATATTATGGGGGATTTTTTAAATAATGTAATAAAGTTATGAGTTAAAGGAGTAGCTCACTTCCGGAACAAAAATTTACGGAGAATGTACTCACCCGCTTGTCATCCAAGATGCTCAAGTCTTTCTTTCTTCAGTCGTAAATAAATTATGTTTTTTGAGGAAAACATTTCAGGATTTCTCTCCATGTAATGGACTTCTATGGTGCCCCTGAGTTTGAGCTTCCAAAATGCAGTTTAAATGCAGCTTCAAAGAGCTCTAAACGATCCCAGCCGAGGAAGAAGGGGTTTATCTAGTGAAACGATCGGTTATTTTCTAAAGAAATGTACAATTTATATACTATTTTAACCTCTGAACTCTATGCATTCCGGTTCATGACAGTTAGGGTAGGTCTAAAAACTCCCATCACATTTTCTCCTCTAACTTCAAAATCATCCTACAACGCTGCAGAAGCACCGACCCAGTGTTTACAAAGTGAACATGCAAAGATCAAACGCCCTTTACAAAAACCGGTAAAACAGCGATGTAGGACGATTTTGAAGTTGGAGGAGAAAATGTGATGGGAGTTTTTAGACATACCCTAACTGTCATGAACCGGAATGCATAGAGTTTAGAGGTTAAAATAGTATATAAATTGTACATTTCTTTAGAAAATAACCAATCGTTTCGCTAGATAAGACCCTTCTTCCTTGGCTGGGATTGTTTAGAGCTCTTTGAAGCTGCATTTAAACTGCATTTTGGAAGCTCAAACTCAGGGGCACCTTAGAAGTCCATTAGATGGAGAGAAATCCTGAAATGTTTTCCTCAAAAAACATAATTTCTTTACGACTGAAGAAAGAAAGACATGAACATCTTGGATGGCAAGCGGGCGAGTACATTATCTGTACATTTTTGTTCCGGAAGTGAACTGCTCCTTTAATGTCTTCGGCCAATACATATACGGTAAGTTTTGCACGGCAAGGTGTTTGTGTGTGTGTGAGTGAGTTTGTTTACCCATGGGTGTGCCAGCCGGTCGAGCTTCATTCTCAGCCCAGGCGTTTCCCTCAGGCCACGTAACCCTCAGCTGATCTGGAAGTCTGATCCCCCCCAAAATTTTTTATTAAATCTCACACTGTGCTTCGTTATGTAGGCCTATAATTCATTCACTAAAAGAGGAGGGTACCTGGATAAGACTTTTTTATACCGAGTATCGTTGAAAATAACAGTTCCAACTCCCCTAGAGTTAAACAGTTGAGTTTTACCGTTTTCGAATCCATTCAGCCAATCTCCGGGTCTGGCGTTAGCACTTTTAGCTTTAGCTTATCATAGATCATTGAATCTGATTAGACCGTTAGCATCTCGCTCAAAAATAACCAAAGAGTTTCAATATTTTTCCTATTTAAAACTTGACTCTTCTGTAGTTACATCGTGTACTAAGACCGATATATCGAAAATATCGAAACTCTGGTCATTTTTGAGCGGCTTTTTTATACCGAGTATCGTTGAAAATAACAGAATAAGCTAGAGCTATAAGATTTGGGGAAAAAATCTAATTGCGATTTTTCTAATAAAAACTGTGATTGCAATAAAAAAAAATCCAGGTTTGCTGTGTTAGCTACAGCTAAAAGTGCTACCGCCAGACCCGGAGATTGGCTGAATGGATTCGAAAACGGTGAAACTCAACTGTTTAACTCTAGGGGAGTCGGAAAATGAGCCTATTTAAAAAAAAAGTGGAGTGTTCCTTTAATTATAGTTAAGTATATTTAAGTATAACATAAAATAATCATTTCATTATGTATGGGAAGATGGTTGGTGTTCCCAAATGCACAATAAAGCGACCCGAACTCAGAGCAGATGCTCTTTAATTCTCTTTACTGTTAAGGTGAAGTACAGATTACAGCGACAGGTCTTACTTTGCGAGCTCATCCTCGATTTTCTTCTTAATGGTTGCGGCTGCAGCCAGCCTGTCGATCTTAGAGATGGGAACGATCCTCAGCTCATCATACAACTCCTTTGGTTCCTATGAAAACACATCACAGAGACGTACACCGAAGTAAAAAGCCACAAAAGATTCAAAACATTGAGTTTACACACTTTCGACTAGAGATGCACAATATATCGGCCACCATGTCGGTGTAACATTCTGGTTAGCGCATAACTTAGTTTAAGTTCACTTGTGCATTTGCATCTTCTTGTGCATATATAAGTCGTAACATAATGTTTATGCTGTATAAATATCTGATTAATCTTATATAGCCTAATTAAGTCTCTAACAAATGCAGCTAAAACAGCAATATTAACTTAAGATGTTTCTTTTTCAAAAAAAAACATTGGTGCATTATTAATAATAACTACAACTTTTATCTTCCTCTCATTATTATCACCAGCAATATTAAAAAGTTTAATTCAAATCATTTTATTATTTCCGTGCAGAGGCTATTCCACCTGATTTATCCATGACACATACACTTTGATTCTTTATACGCAAGTAATGTTGTCCAATGACCTGTTTGCATTATTTATGCGTCATGTTATTTATTTGTAAGGCAATGGATGTTTTTTTTTTTTGGACTAAGTTGACAATAGGAGTGTAAAATTAATTTTAAAACTTACATTGGTTCAAACTAGGCTACTGTACTGGATATGTTTGATTTATGTTGAAGTGCTTGGGACGTGGCTTTTAATGGTGAGACTCTTGTTTTTGTAATCAGACTCTTAAAGATTATATAAAAATTTAGATTAAGATGTATTGGCCAGCATATCAGTTATATGGAAGCCTGTTTCCGCCACTGAATAAAAAATAAAAAAATTGTTATTTTGCAACTTTTTATCTCACAATTCTGCCTTTTTTTTCTCAGAATTGAGATATAAACTCGCAATTGCGAGTTTTAAAGTCAGAATTGTTGTCAATTCTAAGAACATATCAGTCTTTTTCCCCTCAAAATTGGACTTTATAGCTCACAAGTGTGGGTTAATATCTCACAATTCTGAGAAAAAAGTCAGAACTGCAAGATATAAACTTCTCGCAATTCCGAGAAAATTCTCGTAATTCTGACTTTTTTTCTTGCAATTCTGACTTTTTTCTCGCAATTGCGACTTTATATCTCACAATTGCGAGTATATATCTTGCAATTCTGAGAAAAAAGTCGGAATTGCAAGATGTAAACTCGCAATTGCAAGAAAAGTAGTCAGAATTGTGAGAAAAAAATCGCAATAAACTTTTTAAATTTTTTATTCAGTGGCGGAAACGGGTTTCCATAGTTATCGGCTTTCAAATAAATATCGGTTATCAGTATCAGCCAAAATTTACATATGGGTGCATACCTACTTTCCACCACACTCAGAGGCGGAGGAAAAACACATGACCGCACTGCATTCATTCAGAGTAAATGGACGAGTGAGTTGAATTATCCTCACCAGTGCAATCTGGACATATCCTCCTGTGCCGTACACGTCTCCTTCATGCTCTCCGTAGAGCAAGAACTTAACTATAGAGCCAACAAAGACGGGGTTTGTTTTCACTGACTTCACCTAAAGATGTAAAAGACAATATTTGGGATGACTCGAATTACAACCTATGATTCATAATTTAATAAATGGCCTGATTCATATACACATTTTCATGTTATAGACTTTCTTGGCACAACTAAAGATATTAATTACACATTTATACAGTCTGTATGACGCTTCACAACACCTGGGAAATACTGTGGAATCACCACACTTACAGAATGTCCAGCTTTATTTTGTTTACAATAATTGTCTTTCAATAATTCACATTCAGTTACGATGCAAAAGTAATCAGTTATTTTCCACGACTCCTGTAAACTGGTGTCGTCAATGACTAAGTGTGAAAATATGAAAACTACTCGATCTCACACATTGTCCTTTCTTGTAAGTCTTGCTGTCCCACTTAATGGTGTGGAATTGAGCCCAGGGTGACTGAAGCCGTTTGGTGGCAACATCTGTACGAGTCGTCGAACCCAGAAAACCCTGAAACATCACCTGCAAACATGACAAAAAAAAAAATCTGTTGTTTCCATTTTTATGTCTAACCAGAATATAATAATTGAGTGACTGAAAGGGGTGGTTGACTGTTTTTTTTCTAGGCTTCATTGTGTTTATGGGGTGCAGTCTAACATGTGTTAATGCTCCGTTTAAAAAAAACAAAACATTATTATTCACATAATTGACCTTTATTCTACACCGCTCCATCCCTTCTCCTTTAAACACTCCGATGATTTCCTGGTTCTATGAAGCCCCTCCCTCAGAAATACGCGATGGGCTCTGATTGGATAGCTGGCCCAGTGTGCTGTGATTGGCTAAACCGCCTCTAGTGCGCCTCTAAACGTCCCGCCCCTCACCTCGGCGGCATGTGCTCCGGTTGTATTGTAAACAATGGCGTCGTCAATATCGCTTATCAATTTGAGCCCGATTGAGATGCAGAGGATATTAGTGAAGAGGATCGAGCAGAATCTGTGCAAGCACATGGCTCTTAATGGTATGTTTTATGTTTGTTGTCTCATACTTTTAGATATGCTGTTATTTGTAAACGCTACTGCTTCTGTTAGCTTTTAATATACGGTTCTATCCTGATTAAAGCTTTAATACAGCACGGCAACCGCATGCGCGTCCATGTTTAACACTTTTCATAGCTATATGAAAAATATCTGTCTGTCTATACACAAAGTGTGTAATTGGAACAGTTCATTGTTGGAGCTGAGCTGATAATCTGAATGAGCAAGAGAGAGAGATGCAGAGCAGAGAGTGTGCAGAGCAGGGGGAGGCGAGGAACACAATTACGAACCGCTGCTTTAGACACTGATTTTGAAACTTGTGAATCCATTAGAATCGTTAGAAGACAGAATCGCGATTCATATATGAATAGATTTTTCTGTGCATCCCTAGTTTTGACGGCATGGCAATGGCAACAACTCTTCCTCTTCTCTAAAGCAGCGCAACATGGCCTCGCCCCCTTTGTTGCATGTTCCCGGGGGCGGGGTTTATCAGGGTTTGTGATGTCACAAACCCAGGAAGTAACTCGTTGTAGTCCCTACAAGCCGTTTTTGTAGGCATTAAACTGCCAGAATTTTAAACGACGATATCTCCGTTTGCATTGAACTTTCAGCGGCGTAACTTTGCAGATATTGTTTATGCTCAAACAGCAACATTACACACTAACTAACGTAAAAAAAAAGTGAAATCGCAATCAACCCCCCCTTGAATATAATTCAATTTTGTTATAACTATGGAAGCTTCACAACTTTGGTGCTTCTATTTATTGGCAACACAGTTACAAAATTCATTGCTTGTTGATTAATAGGCTTGTGTTTAGTATGATAATAATAACAATACTAAAGAACAACACATCTATTGACTTATAAAGCCAATTTTTTAAATGTTTAGTATTTAACGCTTTCATCTGTCAAAAAATAAATGCAATGCCTTTGATTTGGGGGATTTTCCTTTCCAAATATTTAATATTTATACATGCAAAAGCATGCATTAAGCACTTACAACGCACTGATTGTGCAGTTACTTTGCATACCTGGCCTTGCACATACCTGCTTATCGAAGCGCTCATGACATTCTTTTAACCAGTTTGTAAACTCCCTCTCAATCTTCACCCGCAGCTCCTGGATAAAACAGCATAGACTGTGTGAACTGGACCTTCAATCATGTGCATGTAAGCAGTGTTAAACACGTGTCTTTCAGAGTTCAGGTGTGTGTTTCTGTACCTGGCCATTGTGCACTCTGGTAAAAATGGTGTTGTTGTCACGGAGTTGAAGCTCCAGGTCCATGAAAGTAAGTTTGTTGGTACTGACTTGGAATCGGTCGTTGGCGAAGAGAACTCCTGAAATCCGGTTATAACACTCCAGCGGCACTGCACCTGCTTTCTTAGGCCTTGCACACCACTCAAACCTAACACACACACATTACCATCCAGCTTAGGCAAAAGTGAAAACAAAAATTTTCAAATCATTGTGTTACCATTGTGTCATATGTTTCTTTCGAGCATTGTGATATCTCTGATTCTTTTTGTAATTCTTGCTTGCCTTCAGCACTATTTTTTATATTTTGTTTCCTCTAAAAGCAGATTTCGTTCTACTGTCGTATCCCCAAAAGCCCCGACAATAAATACACTGCATAGACGGCAACCCAGAAATGTGTTTTAGCATTATCAGCATTTGTGACCATACTGATTAATTACCATAATTTATTCTGACTCATCCCTCCTTTTCTTTAAATTTTTTTTTTTAATTACAGTGAGGCACATACAATGGAAGTGAACTGAGCCAATTGTTTCAACTGTGTCAATAATATAACCACAATGCATACACAAAATGCATGCTAAGACTAAGCTTGATAAAATTAAGAGTGAAGGCATTTCATTACAGCAATCGTTAAAAGCACACACACAAATACCTATAGACACACATACATGTGTATGCGTGTATGCATTTTTATATATATATATATATACACACACATATATATATATACACACACACACAAGCACACTTAATTATTTGGCAAATTAATATTATGATATATATATTTTTTTTTTTTACCAATTCACATTTTACCAATTCCAAACCACATCAGTCATAATAATTAGTATTGCTGTGGTGTAAAATATTTGAGTAAATGTAATTAGCTATTGTACTTAAGTATCTTTTTGACTACTTTGTACAGGTATGTAGCTTCATCAGTATCAAAGCTATTAGCATCTTTTACACTCTACTTGACTACATTATTGAATAAGTATATACGTATGTACTCTTCAGTCCAATACATATCTGATGAGTAATGCAATTCCTCCTTTACCTTTTTGCATGGAACCAAATTTTTCTGCAGCAGTTTATTACTGCTACAAAAGAAGTGATATTGCCATCAATGGGCATTAAAATCTAAATGTAACCATCAGATAATGAGATGCTCAAAAAAAAAAAAACGGTTGAGAAGAAAAGATGCATGTTAACCACGAAGGGCTTTGAGAATTAAGAATGGGAAAGTTACTCTGAGACAGTGGTGTAGGGAATGAGCCGCCCATTCCAGAAGCACTCAAAGATCGGCCGCTTGCCCCGAGCTTCAGAGTTCAGAATTACACAATCTTCATCCTCATCCTCTGAAGGACCTAAAACACAAACACACAGGCCTATAAGGAAAAATATCTAGCGATGTACACTATTTCAGCAGTCAATCTATTATAAGAGCATCTTTCTCATGTCTGCCATCAGTGTGGAATATACCTAATGCATATGGATCCACTGGGTATGTTTCTCGATCGTAGAGGAACGGGTGATAACGGATCAATCCCTCCACTAAGGAATCTCCGGCGCCGGTGGCTTTGAACTCAAAAGTAGAAAAACTAGAGTTGATATACAGAGTCTGCATGTCATTCTCCACCTCTCTCAGATTCATCACACGGGGTATTCGAGGAGAGCGCTCGAGCAAAGTGATCTGAGAAATAAGAGAGAAAGAGCTTCAGAGGAAACAAGGACACTAAAAGACTGTATGATCAATGCATTTAGTGGCACAAATACACACGCATCTGTACCTGAATGTCAATGTTGGAGACGTGGTCATTTATTCTAATTTTTTCCTGGTCGTTTCCATCAACTCCATGTATATAGTAATGGTATGTATGCCTGAAATTATACAAACAGCATTGATGGCAGCAAATTGAACAGCAAAACTTGGCTGGCCTTAAAGGACCAGTTCACCCCAAAATGAAAATGAACTCACCCTCAAGATATAAGATGTAGATGAGTTTGTTTCTTCATCAGATTTGGAGAAATGTAGCAATACATAACTTGCTCACCAGTGGATGCTCTGCAGTGAATGGGTGCCGTCAGAATGAAAGTCCAAATAAGACCAGTAATCCACAAGTAATCCACACCACTCCAGTCCATCAGTTATCATCTTGAGAAGTTAAATGATGTGGGTTTGAAAGAAACAAATCTAACATTAAGATGGACTGGAGCAGTGTGAATTATTGTGATGTTTTTATCAGCTGTTTGGACTCTCATTCTGACGGCACCCATTCACTGCAGAGGATCTATTGCTGAGCAAGTAATGTAATGCTACATTTCTCCAAATCTGATGAAGAAACAAACTCACCTACATCTTGGATGTAGGGTTAAAAGAATTGGCTCATAAAAGACATTCGTTTGCAAATCAGACGTCACAGGTCTTGCTGTGCTTATTGCTGTGTAAAGCAAACAATGATTAAATTATTAAAATAAACTAAAACAACTAAAAATGTAGACTCAAGAATTTTTTTTTTTTTTTTTTTTTTTTTGAAGAACCAGGATTCCCGAAGTCTTGGAAAACCGAGATATATGTTTGCTTTGTACACCAGAAAAACTCATGGAAATTAATAAAATCTTAAAACTCCATGTCCATTAATTTAGAACGTAGATACGTTTTTCTCACTAAGCCAAGCTCTAAAATGCTTTATTCAGTAGCAATTGTGATTAAAATAAATATTTTAAATGTCCTTATCCGGTAACACAACGTTGAAATGATTTATTTGGTTAAATGCATAAATGACATGTAAACTGTAAATCTAATATATGAAATGTAGTTTTAAACGTTTAATTAGAATTATTGCAATTAAATTTCAATTTACAGATCCTGCCAAAATATTAATGAAAACAAAACTAGGGTTGACGAGCCTTTAAATATCATTGCGAACAATGGGAGACAAAAAGGTTAACCACCATTTCCTAACAAATTAAATTCTACTCCTACTAATATAACTCTTAACATTTTCAGCAAGAACTCTCATGCAAAATTTTGAATAAAAATAAATAAATAATAAAAAGATAAAAATTGGCCTGATCTAAAGGAGGAGTTCATGTATGTGCATTTGAGACGTACGCCAACTCTCTGGTCCACAGACTGAAATTGTGTTTCAGGAAGGTGACGTGTTCCTGTTGGACTCGAGTGATGACAACTGCAGTAAAACTCTCCTTTCCTTCTTCTTCAGTCACAATGGACTGCAGAAACTGCTCCTCGCTTCCATTCACGTGTGAGTAATCGCCAGGCTGCAAAAGAAAACACACGCATATGCATTTAAAAATAATATCCATGCTCCAACAATAGCTGCATTTACATGGAGCCTAATAATCCGATCGTAATAGGACTAGAAGCACAATCGGAATAAAAAAAGTCACATGTAACTAGGGCTGCACGATTAATCGAATGCGATTGTCATGCGCATTTTGTTAGTAAAGACGGTTCTGTAATCAGCAGGAAATCATCATCACGTGCTTTCAGATGGAGCAGCATTTACTACACAGAGCCGTAGTTCACTGACAAGTTACGCAAAAAAAATTTTTTTTTAAATCGCTGACGATTGCGCGATTATGAAATCGAAGAAATCGTTCGCGATAATGACAGCTGTTTGCATAGCTTCTCAGTGAACTACGGCTCTGTGAAGTAAATGCTGCTCCATCTGAAAGCATGTGAAAATACCACATTTAATAACATATTTTTACTCCAAACTCACTTCATAACGTCAGTCGAGTGTTTGAAATAAATCCTTCTGTGAGATGATGTGGCTTCTTACATAGAATAAGGCACGCAACATATTTCATAGTATTTAAGCAGTGATAAAGGCATTGCATTATAAATATACTTTATTTTAATTAAAATTATAATAATAAGAACTCAGATAAACCGTATATTGCCGTAGTCGTGTGTTTATTAGTCACGTTGAATCAATGAAAGCAGTTGAATCTTCTGTTTATTCAGCTGCAGCGATAGGCATTTTCTGGGTTTCTTCTGCGAGGCGTATTTGACATTTCAGCGCGAGAGCGCCCTCTGGCCTTCGGATGGAGATTTACTGCTGATCACAGAACCGTGCTTCACTGAAAGATACGCATGACAATCGCAGCTTCTGTCGAATCGCAATCTCGATTCCATTTCGATTTATCGTGCAGCCCTACATGTAACCATGTCAATCGGATTGGATTCGCCAGCTCGGATTGTAAGGGGTGGTTTAATCCTCTTGTAATCCGAGCAAGAGGGCATGTAAACACTTGATCAGAAGCTTGTGACATATAAACACGCATATCAACCCCATCACTTTATTTAGTGTTCATGTAAACAATACGTTCGGATTCGTCAATCAGAATTAATTCGTTCCAACGGAAGCAAAAAGTGTCCATGTAAACGTAGCTAGTGACATGAGATTAACTGAATTTCCCTCACCTTCCTGTTTCTAATGAAGCCAGAGTAAATGACTTCCTTGTTCATCTGCTTGCGCTCAAAGTCTTCTTTAGACATGATAAATTCATGAACATCTGGAGAGCCTGCAGGTTTACTGATCATCTGGAACACACATTGAATTAAAAGAATAGTTCGATCACAACAGGGTTTCTGCAGGTTTTATGAAGGAGAGTTTTTAAAGACCTTTTTAATACCAAGTAAAAGAAAAATTAAGGACCCAATTAACTGGAACACAATCCGTCAATATGTTCACTAAATGTAAACGTCTGGGGAGCAGAAAATGAGTTCTATTAGCAACTTACAAAAGATCTCCATTACTTTTTAAATTCATTTTACAAATAACTTTTACTGTGCCTTTAGATCACACTGCAAAAATGAAATGAGTTTATGATTAAAACCAGAACAAATATCTGCCAAAGGGCTTCGAAAACGCCTTTTCATACCTCATTGACAAATGTCTGTGAAAAAAGCATAAACTCACTTAACTTTGTTCACTTGTTAAGAAAGCAAGACTTTATCTTCATCTTGTATTTCAAGTACAAATATCTGGATTTAAGACTGTTTAGATATTTGCATTGGAAAACAACATAGAAATACTTCGAAATATATTCAGTTTTTGCAGTGCACACAAGATTTTATGCCAAAACCTTATGCATTTAAGACTTTCTGTTCTGTTTGTACCAACGTGAGAATGAGTAAATGACTGTCCATGCAACCATTTACATGTTAAAATGCATTATCTATCAATCAGATGACAGACAGCATTTACCAAGTAAAAGAAAAATTAAGGACCCAATTAACTGGAACACAATCCGTCAATATGTTCACTAAATGTAAACGTCTGGGGAGCAGAAAATGAGTTCTATTAGCAACTTACAAAAGATCTCCATTACTTTTTAAATTCATCAAACAAATAACTTTTACTGTGCCTTTAGATCACACTGCAAAAATGAAATGAGTTTATGATTAAAACCAGAACAAATATCTGCCAAAGGGCTTCGAAAACACCTTTTCATACCTCATTGACAAATGTCTGTGAAAAAAACAAACTCACTTAACTTTGTTCACTTGTTAAGAAAACAAGACTTTATCTTCATCTTGTACTTCAAGTACAAATATCTGGATTTAAGATTGTTTAGATATTTGCATTGGAAAACAACATAGAAATGCTTTGAAAGATATTCAGTTTTTGCAGTGCACACAAGATTTTATGCCAAAACCTTATGCATTTAAGACTTTCTGTTCTGTTTGTACCAACGTGAGAATGAGTAAATGACTGTCCATGCAACCATTTACATGTTAAAATGCATTATCTATCAATCAGATGACAGACAGCATTTAGTAGATTGTGCACAAAAGGTTTTTCAGCAATGTTTTGATCATTTGGACAATTTAGACAATTTGTGTATCAAATACAATGCAGTAGGATTTATAAGGTTAATTTGCCATTGCTCACACAATTTCTATGTATTTCTATGATGTTTTTCAATAGAAATATCTAAACAGTCTTGAATCCAGATACATTTAGGTCTACTTGAAACCCATAAGGCTCTTCAAGAACACAAATGAAGATATTTTTTTTAATTCTCTCATCATTTTTATGCATTGAAAGTCTGTGCAATCAAAATTTTCATACACCAAAAATGTGAAAAGACATTGTAAAAGTAAATCCATATGAATCAATGCTCTGAAATGCACTTCAAAGTAAGTGTTTACACTTTTTACTTACTAGTTGTCTTTGCATATTAAGCTGGGTTAGAAGAAAGCACTTCTGCTTTAATTAAAAGTAACACAAATAAATACAATAGACGTGTTACAAGTAGGGCTGTCAAAATGGCTGAAAAACTAAATTCGAATTTTTTTACTTAAATATTATCAAAATTCAAATTTATATATATATATATATAATATTCGAATTTAAAATGTATAATTTCAGTTAGGGTAAAGAAAAGCTTTTGGCTTCTCTTCTGAGGACACAAGAGGGCGCATCGAGTAAAATATTACTAATGAACGTTTATTCAAAGTGCATAATGTTTAAAATAATGTTTATAAACCAAAGTTGCTTAAACAACTATAAACAAAACAGCATCATGCATGTATGCATAGTTTAATACAAAGGGCCGAAAGCCAATCACACAGATTACATTTTTCATTTAAAAACACGAGTTGCAGTGGGATGG